AGCTTAGTTTTGAGGCCATCCATCGTCTTGACTTTGGCGGCGGCAATGGTGCCGCTGAATAAAGTTTCTTCAGATCCTACTCTGACGGGCTGATCAATCCTATTGTTGGAGGTGGATTTGGAATCCAGTTTGTTCAAGCAAGGATGGTGCGGTGGCGACGACATCCTCGTGGTGGACCTGTGTCCTCATGCTCCGCCGTTGCGACGACGTTTGCTGCATCACCAACACGTAGCTTTGGAGGTAGTCCCAGAGCAGATGCAGATTGTTGTCTGCATCGGTGGCATCTGAATTTTTTTTATGGCAATGTTTAAGAAATGTTTGTTGTGCATGCAAAATTTCATCACGAAATCACATTGGTGGAAGCCGTGGCAAAAAAAATCAGAGCTCCAAAATGCGTTTGAAAGTAACATTTTTTCAGAGCATCGATTTTGTTATTCTTTTCACGCGTTCCACCAATATAATTTCATGATGAAATTTTGCATGCATAGCAAACATTTCTTAAAGCATGCCACAAAAAAATCAGACTTCTTTCAAATATTTTATTTATTTTACTCTTCACATCAGGAGCATATTAGCTCAGGTGTAGAAACTCCACGTCCACATACTAGACAATTTTCTAAAATATAGTTTTCTACTGTATCTGAACTTTTTTAATAGAACACATACTAAAAAAGAACACACATATTTCCTAGAGCAACTCCAATATCTTACATAATTTTCAAAAACTTCATGAAATATAGAGCCTGAACAAAACCTTGAAACTTTTGTCGCTTTCAGTAAGGGTCCGATATCGCGTGAATAAATTACATCATAAATTCGTCATATGGGATGAAAAATGTTATCTTCAAGATGGGGGCAGACTGGATGTGTACAATATTGCGAAAAATACCAAGATCTAAACAACGAAGAATACCAAGATCTAAAAAAGATAAAGGAAAAAAAACGAAAAGAGCATGTAAAAAAATGAAAACAGTCGAAAAAGGCCTGCACGTGTCTGAAGCTGGGAGTATATATCATCGTACCTACCACTTGCTTGTCTAGTGGTGACCAAGCGCTCGGTAGTTTGGTTGGTCCCTGGTTCGATTCGATTGGCGACACCGGTGCTTTCCTTCTCGTTGCTTTTTTCTTCTGACCCACTGACGACCGGGACCCACACAGGGGAGAGGGAGAGCGTTAACAGCGACAGACGGTGCACCGTTATGGCTGACAGAAATTATACCAAAACGTGCTGTTAGTTAAGTTAGTGTACCATTTTTCTGGGGTTTTTTAGTTTGTGTATGATTTTGTTAGTTGGCTGCAAGTTCTTGTACTACCAATTTCATGTCACGAACTTGTCTTTGTGGTAACTATAAGATGGAAGGAAGGAAGGAAGGAAGGAAAGGGAAAAAGTTTGTGGGGGAGGAGCGAAACGGATGCCCATCGCCAATGGCAGGCCGAGAAGGGGACCCCAGGTGGTCACAGCTGAGGACGAGATCATCTGGTGGATCCGTGGATGCATGCAATGGCCGAGACCAGACGGCTGGCCCGCGCTGCCGAGCAAGGCTGGGTGAAGTGTAGTTTGGAGGGTCCCACATGGTCGGAAAAGAAACTTTTGCACATGGCCACACTTGATCCCACTTCCCCCACTCCCTCTCACCTGGTCATGGTCGTGTCGTGTGGGTTGTGGGGCCACCATGCATGCATTGGGATATCCTCTAATCAGCTTTGCGGGCCCGACAGGGAGATCGCCGGAGCCCAGCCCCAGACCTGCGTCGCGATTCTGTCGCCTGTGCCTGCGTGTTCCCCAATCCCAATGGATGCTAGCGAAGGAAGGGAAGGAAAAAGAAGGGTGGTGGGGGAGGAGCGAAAGGGATGCACGGCAACGGTGCATGCATGCCCATCGCCAATGGCAGGCCGAGAGGGGAGTCCTGCTTCTCCCTCCCTCGGTCGTCTCCACTGCCACATGGATCCGGTCCGACCGATCAGCTGTTTTTGTTTTTGGTAGAGCCGCTCTGAACCTTCGGTCCATGCCATGCCAATGATCCGCTGCGGTGCATGCGCCGACGACGTGCAGTACAGGTGGTACGCGCGTGCTTGCCGCCGGCCGTCACGTTCCACTCCCACCGTTCCTTGTTGCTGCACACGACACGATCGGATCCATCCACCTAGAACCATCCATCGATCGACCCGGCGCCGAATCACGCGCGCATCATTCCATCCCGCGCACCACCGGGCGCCAAATCAAGCAGCAGCCTGCGTAGCGCGTCTCTCCCTGGCCGCGCCGCGCGAGCATCGGGCCAACGTACGTGCCGCCATGCGTTCCAATTCTCAGACGCGCGCGCTCGTGCACCGTTTCTTTCTTCCTTCCTTCCACGCGCGCGCACACTGGTATGCCATCTTGTGGCCGAGCTTGAAACCCATTGTTGGGCGGGCTGGCCGGGCCAAATAGTAGAAAACAGTTTGTGTGCTAGTGTTTTAAGTCCCGCAAGTAACAGAATTAGTGTACAAACTGTATTATTATTGTTATTATTATTATTATTATTAAAAGCTGTAAAAGGATGGGCGGGCCGCGGCCCATTGGACGTTGCCGTAGCTCTGCCTGTGCGGCCATCCAACCGTGTCAACATACATTTCAAACGGTATTTGAATAGACGAGACGATTTTCATGCAAATCCGATAAATGTCATTTAAACTGGAGCACATTCGTTACATTGTCGACATACTCATTAAAAATGTTCGGATCCTAACCTAGTCTAAATCTCCAGCAAACGCCCGTCCTCCAAATTTTTGCTATTCCCCTCCGTGTCCATGCTCGCAGCCGTGAGCCGGCGAAGTGAGGTTGCGGTCGCCTGCGAGGAAGAGAAGATATGGGACACCGACTGGCCCACATGGGACACGAGGCGTCACCGTCTCCCATGTCCTACTCTTCCTCGTTGGAGTCCGCTGCCTGGACATGGACGGATCGACATCGTGGTCGTAGCGGCGCCAATAATGGCGCACAACTGCTGACGTTCCCATCCGCGACCTTCAACGCCATCTGTGCGTCAGTCGTCGCCGCGCGAGCGTTGCACATGACCTCGTAGAGTGCTCGTTGCTCCTGAAGGAAGTTCGGGTTCTCCGTGGCCATGGCTGACACAGCCTCCTCGCTCGCGAACTTGCCGTAGATCTGGCCCTTCGTTGACTGGTAATGCGTGAGGAGGGGCGAGGTTGTAGTGATGCTCCTCACGTGCCTGCCGGAACATGGCTGCGGCGACGGATGCTCCTTCGTCATGACGGCGTTGAAGTGTGCCTGCGCCCGCTCCATGGTGAAGCCGGCATGGACCGACGCGGGCAGGGGCGCCGGCTCGACATCGGAGGCTTCCTTCATCGCTTGGTCGCCGGCTCAACATTTTTTTTTCTTTTTTCTATCAATGGCAGGTGGACCCCACAGGTCTCCACACAAGAGGACAACGTCCCAAATGTCGCCCTTACATGCGAGGTGTTAAGCGGTGCCACGTTAGCTTGACTAGCGGGCGTCATCTGTTATAAACGCGGTCAACCGGGTCAAAATCGCCGATTTGTATTATTTACAAAAAGATTACCATAGACATGTTGTTTTGTGCCCAAAAATAAAATAAATGTAAACTTGTGTTTTGTGCTAACTTAATCTTTAATGTGATGATTTTGTCCAATTTACTACTTAGTAAGCACGCTATTCTAAATCAAAGTAAAGTCAAACCTTTTAGTATATTATATTATGGCTTTATTACATTCATAGAAAGCAGATAAAATGAGAAATCTTTGACATTTTTTACAACAAAATTCAAGAGAGAGGAAATTTATAATAGTATTACGCCCATAAAAAACAGATGTGGAAATTTCTAATAGTACCTGGCATGTCATATGAATTTGAGTTTACATAACCAATTTATAACTTCGTGGTTTCATTCCTTGACCCAATTTTTTTGCATGAGAAAAGATTCCTAGTGAAAAATATTGTATCCAAATAATGCTCCCCTGGCTTTATGGGTTTCCATTTTGCATTAAAAAAGGAAGACCTTGAGAGCAGATCCAATTTCTGAGGTCCTTCCATTTATTTTTTCTGTTGGCAAAAATATTGACTGAATGATAGGAAGGCACAGTGTAATTTTCGCATCGCTGCCGTCCATTCGCCACCGATCCGACCGTCCATTGCCTGTGGTCGCGGATCGCCGGACCCACACTATCCCCTTCCCGCGCCGTTTAAATAGTCTGCCCAAACCCGTCGTCCATCACAACACTCAAATCTGAATTCCCCCTCGCCAAATCTCCCCGCACCATCGCGGATCGCGCCAAATCTCAAATCCGCTCTAGCCGCCATGGACGCCTCAGCCACCGGCGCCGTCTCCAAGGTGAAGAAGTACGTGGTGGGCGCAAGCTTGGCGGCGGCCCCAGGAAGCAGGCGGTGGCGCGGTCCGTCAAGGCCGGGCTGCAGTTCCCCGTCGGCCGCATCGGCCGCTTCCTCAAGAAGGGCCGCTACGCGCAGCGCGTCGGCATGGGCGCCCCCGTCTACCTCGCCTCCGTCCTCGAGTACCTCGCCGCCGAGCTGCTCGAGCTCGCCGGCAACGCCGCCAAGGACAACAAGAAGTCCCGCATCATCCCGCGCCACCTGCTGCTCGCCATCCGGAACGACCAGGAGCTCGGCAAGCTGCTCGCCGGCGTCACCATCGCGCACGGCGGTGTGCTTCCCAACATCAACCCCGTGCTGCTCCCCAAGAAGACGGCCGAGAAGGAGACCAAGAAGGCCGCCAAGTCCCCCAAGAAGGCTTAGTCGATTGTGGCAGGCTATCTAGTGCATCGTAATAGAATTAGTGTTTGCAGTTTGGCTAATGGTGTTGATGTGATGTTCTGATCTGCTGAGAAAAAGATCGTCAGAAATCTCTCTGACTTACAGTAAATTCATTCTATGTTGTTCGTCTCTTCATGATTTTGCAATGCTATCAAGTTTTACATACGCACGGTTGGACAAATTGTTGTATGTACCAATCGTTTGAATCTGATAAATTCACTGTGGACCTGATACTCTAGAAGTTGCAAGCTGAAGAAGCAGAGGATCGCAAACCTGTATTTTACCTGTCATCGTAGTATGAGTTCAGGTTCAGACATTTGTGTATGTGAGTACCACCAAATGCTATGTCCAGCTTCTGTAGAATACATTATAATGGTTGGCTACAGAAGCATTTTTCTGTAATTGGTTGTCGCCCGACCCAGTATCACCACATTCTCGAACATGATAGTACATCATGTTGCTTGATGGCTGAATAAGTTCAGTTGAACGTCTCTGAAACAAATGCAGAGAAAACCCATTCTTGATAGCCTGCAGTTGCTTGATGGCTTCTGTAGACTCAAAAATAAAGTAAAATGCAGTTGCTGGATCATTGCTTGCTTGCTTATCTAAATCAAACAACACTAATTGCTATAATCAGCAACTGATACACACCTGACCTTCCAAAATATTCATCATATGTATATTTTCAGGGTGCAACTTAACAAACCATTATTTGTTTCCAGTTGCGAGAATTGATCAATGGATTACAAGTCCTGTGATTGTGATACTCTCATCTCTGTCTCATCCACTTGTTTGAATTTGACAAATTCACTTGGCCTGGTTACTAGAAAGACTAGTGAAAGTCAGTCGAAAGATTAACAAGTCAAGGAGCATTACCTAACTGTAGTCATGTATGAGGTCAGGCACACTGGAATTTAGGTTCAGACATTTGAACATATAAAGTACTATGTCAAGCTTATGCAGGAACAATCGGTTATGTCACCCAAGATCACTACATTCTAAAATCATGTTTCTTGATGACTCAATAAGTTCAGTTGCACATCTCTGAAAGAAAAGCAGACAAACCCCATTTGTTGATAGCCTGCAGTTGCTGTGATCATTGCTCTGTGTGTGTGTGTGTATAGCTATTATAGACACAGTTTTACCTATATATATATATATATATATATATATATATATATATATATATAGGTTTAAACTGAAGGCCTCTTCCGTATGTACAAGTATTACCTAAATTGAACAACACCAATTATAAAAATCAACAACTGACATGCACATACCCCGTAAATGGTGCTCACTATAGCTCACGTACCCCGTAAATCATGCCACGTGACCACGTACCCAGCGGTAGGCGATTTTTTTTTTAACTCAAACGGCAGGTGCTCTGCCTTTTCATTATAGATTACGAATATACAAAGAGTCTAGCAGTCGTCAGAAGGCGCTGCCTATACAAAAGGGGAAACTAAAACGCTACTCTCAATAAATCTAAGTCAGCTTTGATCAACGAGAGGACTCCGTCCACTGAGGTTGATTTGGAGTTGAAGACCCTTCTGTTCCTCTCATTCCAAATATGCCAAGCGAAGTAGGCAGCGACCGCGGCATGCTCTTTGGAACTCTCAGAGCAGGCCCTCCACCATTGAGAAATCGACAAAAGATTGGCAGGCAGAGTAGGGCAGCACCATGGCCGCACGAAACAAAGCTTGGACCAGACAGCGTTGGAGAAGGCACAAGTGTTGAAGAGGTGGAGTGCCGTTTCAGGTTGTTGAAGACAGAGAGCATATGTCGCACTGTGGTCACCTCTAGGCGATTGGACGTGACCTAGCTGTGGCTCGTGCCATCGTGCTCCTGTTTGACCAGATCTGACTCGTTAGATTCGTCGCACCTCCCTAAGACAGATTTGCGGGGCTTATCAATCTTTCGAGCCAACTTAGACTAAGTTTAAACTTAATAGATTCGGGTTGCATTGTTGGTCCTCAACGAGCCGACTTTCGGCATCGCTAGGACAAGATGAAACAGCAGGCTGATGGGTCGCCCCACGTATTTGAAACCGACCTTGCCTCTTTGATAATCTCACCCGGTTGATTCTACTATTCTCTGTGCTCAATTCGGCCGACCTGAACACACCCAAACTCATGAAGGGCTAGTAGGGTACACGGTGCCATGATTCTAGAGATGCCGCAAGCCGGGAATCCAACGAGCGACCCATGATTCCAGGGCCTCAACCTGTACAACAACGTATACCAGAGGTGCACCACCAACCTTGTGTACAGTATCCAACCCATCTTATATCAGTCTTGCTAGTTAAGTCTCAGTCGACGCTATATCTATGAGATCTTACATTTAGACCCGTGCAAAATTTTCTTTTCGGTTTTCCTTTTTTTCTCTCTTGCATGTTATGTCACTTGACTGAGACCTAGCCACACCCATCTTATATAGCTCGATAATTTCTTTTTCATTTCTTTGAGTTACACTTTCATATAGTTAGCCTCACTTCTTGGCTGCATTTGTCTTTTGCACCATAGGTGCAATGGTTCATCTAGCTAGTACAGAGAAATAAAGAAAAATATTACCCAAAATGGTGCGCCCTTTCTGATTTCAATTTTTGCACATGCAGAATACTGGTGTGTTGAAGTTTCAGAATTCATATGCGCATGTATTTTTATCCGTTTATACGCATGACATTTTCTGTGTTTTTTGAGACTTATAAAGGGTGTACATTTTTTTTTACTAAACACATCTATAGGGTGAGTTAGGGATGCAAGGGGACGGCCGTCCGCATGTCCGCGAAGCAAAAACTACACAATGCTTGCATCCCTAGGGGCTAGGGTGGGTTCAGATGTGCCCCCGGTCGGTTAAACTTCAGTCCGGGTCCGGCTGCTTGCATTGTGTACGATCATGATGGGTTCAACTATTAGTTTTGACCGTGCTGTGCATGTTGCAAGGCAAGAAAGTTATGTATGTACTCACGCGAGCGAGTGAATTGCAGAAAACATCAATATTGAAGGCTAGAGTTGCAGAAACCACACTTCTACGAAATTATGCCCAAAACCACTAATTCCGAGGCTAATTTTTTGCAAATAACACTAGTTGGCAGCTTTACCCCATTTAATGACCATTATGACAAATGGGACCCGCAAAAGCTGACGTGGCGTAACGGTTGACATTTGACTATGTTAGAAGGGGGATTTATATAGATTTACAAAGACACCCTCATTCAAAAATGAGAAAAGCAATCAGCCCCTCACCCTCGTCGCCTACCTCCTCGTCTGTCCTCCATGGAGTTGAGAACGTGCTGGCAGCCAGCGCCGGCGGCCGGCGGCCGGTGCGGGGGATGCTGCTCGGCCGGCGCAGGGGGGTTCGGGGGAGTTGCTAGTCGGCCCGCTCGGACGTCAGTCAACGACGACGGCGGTTGGCGGCGGCGCGACTTGCACAGCGACGATGTGCTTGACCGCCATGACGTGGGCGAATTCTGCAAGGTGGGTGAGAGTCCACAGCCATGGTGGGGCGGCGGCGGCTC